GACCACCCGATCCCGTTAGTCGCCTCTAACGACAAGCATAGGCTACTGATAATCAATTCTAACCCGGATCTTCTCGGGTTCGTGTACCGGGACCATACAGATGACCTTAAAGGTACACGCCCAAGTAAATGTACATGTACATACAAACACACCCAGTGACTCTTCTCTGTGAACATAGCTTACTCACACATGGTGTTTACTCCGTCTATCATCACACACAGGAGGACCAGCGCCGTCACGATGACCTTGACTGACGGAACCATGGCGGTGACGTCGACTTGTTGCTGATGGTGTTTTATTGCTGAACTCAAGAAGACAACGTGCATAGTTACTTCAACCGTTAAATACAAACATATATTTTATGTTAAAACATTTTGCATACCCGTATACAAATTGTGGGCGTTATTGACGAACTCACCGTTATTTATATACCATGATAAGATAACAGTTATTGACGCCTTGGGACGAACGTTAGTTTAACAGAGAAACTATACATATATCGGAAATGCTATACCTTAACTCGTTAAAAGTCATGTTTATTGCAGGTTGACTGTTCATTGCCAACATAACGTTTTTAGCGATAGGTATAACAAGACCGCTGGAAATCTCAACGGTGACCGATCAAACTGTTCGATGCTTGAATATACTTTATGGTTAAAGCGTTTGCCCTTCACGCCGAAGACCCGGGTTCGATTTCCCACATGGGTACAATGTATGAAGCCCATTTCTAGTGTCCCCCGGCGTTGAATATTGCTGAAAGCGTCGTAAAACTATACTCACTCACTCACTGAAGAAAATGATTAACTATCAGAAGAGGAACTGCGTGCGCCAAAGAGTGAGTGAGTATGGTTTTTACGCATGGTCTTCGATGTTACAACTCAACGCTTTAGGGGCGGTGGGGAAGCCTAGTGGTTAAGGCGTTCGCTCGTCACGCCGAAAACCCGGGTTCGAATCCCCACATGGGCACAATGTGTGAAGCCCATTTCTGGTGTTCCCGGCCGTGATATTGCTGGAATATTGCTAAAAGCGGCGTAAAACCCATCTCACTCACTCACTCACTTTTACCACTAGGAAACCCCATCGCCCCGCGTGCGCGAAAAAAAGTCAAACCAATGCATATACCAACAAGTGAGACCCCTCAAATTTAAATCTCTACACGTTTAGGGAATAGAGTTCACATAACGTAGAACAAATTTATCCGTCATTTTAAAATACTACTGAAAGAAGTTAATGAACAGCCGAGTGTTTCATAGGACCACAGTTAACCGCAGTTTATCACATGTTTTATAATATTTTTAAAATTACTATTTAATTGACAAAAATAAACCAACACAATACAAGGTCTCACCTGCCGTGTCCCAGTGCGATTTGTGCAGTTACAAAGTCAGGGCCAACGTTTTAAACCACCCACCGTAAGTAGCCTATGGCGTTAGGTAACGCTGATATGAGATGACGTAACAAGGCGAGATATCGGTTGTTAACTTCATAAGCCTTACCTGGGAGGTAATGACGTATAACTGATAACAAAGATCGTCATCACTATAAAGGTATAACGGTTGATTCTCGCACAAATGTAAATAACATGTCTTAGAAGATCAAGTTGCCAGATGTGGCAATATATAGGCTAAATCTAGACAAGTCGGCATTCGGTGTCGGCTGTATATAGGCGGATCCAGAGAGGGGGGTAGTGGGGGGTGTGGTCCTGAAAGTTTACTATTTGACCGTAGAAACTCTCGTGAAAGCCTCAAAGAAGTATGCGAGTCTGTTAGTCGCGCCTAACCAAGATGAATACTATCCTGGATCTTCGCAGAAACCACGACTTTCAAACACAGAAAGCCGAAGTAAAATTAGGTCAGCCATTTGATGTTTGCGTTCTCTCCAGGGGTGAAACTACCATTGTAGCAGTAAAGAAATTGCTAGCGCCTAATATAGGCACAGCGTTTCTTTTTTACACATAAAAAAAGCTCATTTTTTAGAATAAGTGATCTTCAATAAGTAACCATCTGTGCAGTAAATTATTAATTCAAGCTTTGCACAGTCGAAGATCTTAGTTATTGTCTAATATGAAAATCGGAATCTTTATGCAATTAAGATTTTAGTGGTAGATGGTTTATCAAGTTGGACATCAAGAGAGAGATGTCCCTTTGTTGACACGACACACTTTATTGATATAGACCGTCAACGAAGATTTAAAAGTTATTGTACATCATCAAATCACATCCCATGAGGATTTTACTCGCGTTAAAAGAGAAAAAATAAATAACATTCACTTACTTCAAACGAACATAAAACCGTTTAAGTAATTGTATCCTTTTAATATGTGTTTGTGGAACACGTACATATCACTATTAAAATTATGATAAACAAATTACCAACATTTGTTACAAATAAAAACAAAACCAAAACGGTTCCAAGATGAAAGAAATAGCGTTTAAGAGCATCTAATTTTACACAAATTCTGGGTGGCCAAACTCCCACCCCAATACTCCTTTTCTCTACAGTATTTCCTGACTGCAGAGGCGGTGGGGTAACCTAGTGGTTAAAGCGTTCGCTCCTCACGCCGAAGATCCGGGTTCGATTCCCCACATGGGTACAATGTGTGAAGCCCATTTCTGGTGTCCCCCGCCGTGATATTGCTGGAATATTGCTAAAAGCGGCTTAAAACTAAACTCACTCACTCACTCACTCACTCACTCCTGACTGCAGGAGTTTACAGTGTTTGCTCTATCGGTCTCACTTCCCCATACCACGTGGGCGGATACTGGTTTAGGGTGGACATAGCGGCTTGGTTGCTAGGGGAAATTACTTTAACGGTTTTTATGTTCGTTTGAAGTAAGTGAATGTTATTTATTTTTTCTCATTTAACGCGAGTAAAATCCTCATGGGATTTTGATGATGTACAATAACTTTTAAATCTTCGCTGGTCTCACTTCCCCATACCACGTGGGAGGATACTGGTCTAGGGTGGACATAGCAGCTTGGTTGCTAGGGGAAATTTTTGTGTTTTTCGAAGAACGAATACCGCTACTACAACCAAAATGACTACGGTTATGATATGTAATATACTGGACCCTGAATTCGGGGTCTAATCGTCCCTTCATCATTATCACCTCCCTCGTTGTATCCTCCCGAGGCGCCGGTACCCCGACAATCGGCATATCACGATGAAGTAATCCGTTATCTTTCAGCATCGTTGCTCCGATCTGTCCACGAACCCCTGGGCAACAAGACACAAGACACACTGGTCTGAAGGATCACTGGGATATCATACATTAGGGTTATTCCTTTAGTAGACCATGTAACGAGTTCCCATGTTCAATTATATATCTACGTTAAGGTTGCTGGCAAGCTGTTGGCTGAGTTACAAGACAGCAGTTTACGCTGAGCGTGGCGTCAGCAACACCGTGACGGGATGTCGCTGTAGAGATGCAACATCTATTGCTCTTGATAACGAAAGAAAATATACTGCTTCTTGGATACCAACTTCTGGCTTATTGATGTAGATGCTTACACAGGTAACAAGCTGGAGAGTCAACACAACGAGAGGTGTATATATAGTCTTAATATGGTGTTAGCGGTTGATAACGGTGTAAGATTCAAAAAAGTCGCTGTATGGCAATTACCAGAAGTTGCTTTGCATGAAGTTGAACGTTTTCTAACGTACTCATCGACTTTCAGAATGGTAAATAAAAAACTACTTTTGATACTGTAGCTTTCATATTTTGGTATGTGGTTTCTTTTTCCATTAACGGCAGGGTTGCCAATATTTGATATCATTGCAGCTTAATACCGGTTTACTATGTGGTGTTTAATATATGTAAGTAAATAACTTTTGTTGATAATCAGCAAAGTTCCATCACCATAAATTGTCATTTCATAAGCTGGTGATAATTCTCAGAATTGGTTAATCTTGGTGTGTCTGCGCTGGATAAATTTATGAATTATATTTTACTGTTTCTAGGGGGATTCGCCATAATGTGTTATAATTTGGGCGCGTTCTAGAATAATGCACTCTATTGCGACGTGCATTCATTTGTGCGTGTGTGTGTGTCTCTGTGTGTGGTTTGTTACTTTTGCGCGTGCGTGTGTCTTTTCTACATGTCCGAACTGATGCCGGTTATATCGTGCTAGTCCACTGAGATATGCCACAGTTAATACCCTATAGATGTCCCGCTCAGACACGATATCCTGGATTTCAAGCCGACTTTAGATCTACACTTCTTGCTTTCTGCCTTAGGTTGGCCGATAATCACGTTAAGAACACGTATCATCGCTTACCGTTGTTGTTGGGTTTTTTGTGCGTGTTTTGGAATGAACCCCTAACATCTCCCCTGATCAGTTTCAAAACATCTAATATCTTTCCATTTATTGATTTGAAATATTCTGGTACAAATACATCTCTGTCCGAAGATGTCACAAATGAAACAGAGTAGCCAGGCCCAAAGATATATAGCTTGAAAATGTTTACCGTTGTTTTGTCTTACTCGTACATTTAGGAACTAGGAGTAAGTGAAAGTTCATTAAAGCAGCAGACTTAAATATTCCAGCCTGTAAATACAACGGGTTGGGCACTGTCACTGACATTTAAACGATACTCAGACTGCGATACCAAATACCAACATTCACAGACAAATTCCATTTATCATTACTGCTAAATGGAAAGTTTTACGTAACATATCTTAATAAGTCTCATTGCACGCCCGTCTGTCTCTGTTTCCTCTGCAATAGTGTCTACTTCATCCGCCTGTCTATCGTCACACCCCACGAGATACTAGTATACCAAACATTCTTCACAAATGTAACTCATGTTGAGATTTATAAGACCATCGGTGAGTCAAGGTTTTATACTGACTCCCTGCAAGTGTTGCGTTATATCGGGTATTGACAGTAACAACACACATTTAAGGGCAAACTTCATACATTTTCTTTATTAAAAACAATTCCAATGTAAAACTGTTATCAATATATAACGAATTTGACTTTTAAAGTCAGAAAGTTGTACAGGGCTTTCCGAGCAATCACAGATCGATGAAAATAGAGTGACGAAATTTAAAACTATATCTTGAATGTCAAATCAAGCTGCCAGTTTCTGAAAACAAAAGAAAAGAACTATGAAGTATCAGCGACTTACACAGTACAGAATGATGTTCGTAAATATGATCAAATGGATTAGAAATAAAACTAAACTTGAAACCGACTTTCATTTATACATCACGAAGTGCATATTCTCCTGTACTAACCGAACATCGACAGTTCAGTCTTTTTGTGGTATAAAACTGACTTTCATTTAGTCAGCACGATATATGCGTATATAAATACATGTTCCTACACGAACGAAGTAGCAACATTTCACATGTCTTTTCGTCTTATAAAACTGACTCTCATTTATTCAGCAAAAAGTGTGTAATGTGTCCATACTCACCTAGTGGCCACGTTTTAAAGTCCTCCTGCTCCTCAGTCTGTTGGCGATGTTGGATGTGTCGCGGGAGGCGCCAGATCCGTTGTGGATGAGGAAGGTGCCGCTGTCTGCAATAGAGAGAAGTTCAGTTGAAGCCATCAGATCGTTGGCTGTTCACACAAATGGCAAATAACATTATATAATTAATATTGCCCATTATGTGAAAGGATGCCTTTCAAACCACAAGGGGAATTGGCAAATATTCGTCAGTGAATTCCGTTTTGCATCACCGTGACTGATCCTGAAACCCTGGTACCATGTCAGTGTCAATAAGTCCGATTCCTAAATATATGTATGGCTGAAGGAATACAAGTGAATACAATTAATGTACAATACACTCGGCCTATGTATCGAGTGTGTGTGTGAGTGTGAGTTTAACTTTACGCCGCACTAAGCAATATGGCGGCGGTCTGTAAATAATCGAGTCTGGACCAGACAATCTGGTAATCAACAGCATGAGCATCGATCTACGCAATTGGGTCTATATATGTATCGAACTAAACGGAATATTACTATGAACACAGTTATTTCCATTTCCAGCACCATTAGGATAATCTTTGCTTTATTGTTTTATATATGTTTTGAAGGCGGCGATTGAAAATATACCCTGCCTGAACCATCAACGAACAGTCAACCACTTTCTTGAAAGACTACGGTTAAAGACTAAAGTATATACCATATTTGGAATTTTGTTTGCGAGATCTCTTCGGTCTGGTTTCCGCCACGTTCATCGATGATGTCCCCTCCTCCAGTTTTCTCTTCCTGACCCCCACAACCGACATAGCGTCTCTCCTGTCTCTCTCCTCCCTCATGACTACTCTCTCCTGGGTCAAAGCTTCTCTCGTTGCTGTTTTCTCTCTCTGATCTGCCTCAGTCTCTCTGCTTCCTGCAGTTCGTACTCAATGACCCCGACACGCCCCCTCATGCGGGTAGGCAGGGTGGGAGGTACGGACGGGTGGATGACGTCATACTGGTCTTCTTTATTATTTCTAGGTCTGGAAAGAACAATTTATATTCAAATATCCTTATCAAAGGGTTGAACTAAATCAGAAAAAAACAATACTGTTTGAATTGATCGGTTATATATAATTGCTAAGTGGTAGTTTGAAGTCGTACCCTTTCTGACATTGTCAAGTTGTCTTTCCATCCAGATAATGGCGGCATCCACGGGACAAGCGCACGTTTCAGGAACGCTGAGATCGGAATGAATGGACGCGAGATGGAGGTCGGAGCGGAAAGCCATCCTTCCAGCAAACAGGAGCATGTCCGTGCCGGCCATGTTGTATACTTGAGGCCAGTCTGTCTCTGGGTACAGGAAACAGTTGCCGCCTGGAAGACAAATATTCCGCAACTTATCAGAAACTCGGTCTCATCATTTGAATCCTATATGTATGACATATCTCTCCATAACACCGTTGTTTCAATATTCTAAATTCCTAAAGATCAAGTCAGAAGATTCGTTTTAACATCAACTAAAATCAGAATGTATCATGAACTGAATCTTTTAGTATCTATTCATGCTTAAAGACGTTGTGTATAACTCTTAGTTCACACAGTACGTTTTTGTATATATTTCAGTATTGTACAAACCAGTTGTACTAAACTGAATGACGAGGATTTGCTATGCAATTGAAAAATGTGAGAACTGACATAAGATAAGTCATCGTTCATAGTTTGTGTAAACTGTAAATAGGTTTAAAAAGATAGGGGTAAATATGCATTTGCTACCGCATGAACCATGTACTATATTGTAAGTTTTGAATATTTTGGACGAAAAAAGAGAAATACATTGATGTTCAAAGGTGAAATGATAAATGTACCATTAAACTAGTTCGTAATATTTTCGTAATATGTGGAAAAGAATATATATATTTAAAACTAATGAAAATTCTTGGAATGTTAATCAAGAGCCTAAAGTTTCCTTTTCCTTTTTGTGTTTACTTGAGGGGCAGGAGGTTACAATGTAGCTCGCTTTCCAATTGAAAATAGATATATGATAAATCAACCGCGAGGTTTACATGGAGTTTCTTTGCCACTCAATGTATCTAAATACCCATAAATGTTACTTGGTATTTGATCTAACAGCGGCAATTCAATATTCTGAATTCTTTCAGATCTTATCTGACGGTGCTTATCGTGACGGTGAGCACAGTGAGTACTCAATGGAAAACATTAACTTATTACAAAACATTTACTTTTGTAAAAAGAAATCTTTTAACATTGAAATGGGGATCTTTCTGTTGAGTAACTCAATACATCCGTGATTAGAAATAAACATTCTTTATTCTTAGAGGCGTGTTCAGGTGCCAGTGGTCACTTGGCGAAAGATTCAGAAATCAATGAAAATTTATCACACAGTGCTAAAATGTCCTCAGAACAATATGAAAAGATAATCTGATACATTATCGTATGCTACGTTTCATTTGTTGACGTTACAGTGAAATCATTAAGTACATTTACTTTGTACTGGTAATACAGAACGATAACAACACAAAATTACACGTAAATCTTGCAAGTTCTTACCGTTAATTCTTTTAGAATCCATTCAAAAGTTAATCAGTCAGCCAACCAAAACAGCTTCAGTAGGTTAACACCCTTTCAAACAACCAATCACTCGGTGGAAATAGTGATTTGGGGGAGCGTGGCAGGAGATCGACTTGTCTGCTGAATGACGATTGTCTATGACGTCACAATGTAGTGAGCGCCATGACGACATCCTACTGAGCTAACCAAAATTGAGAAGCGTTCCGTTAGCATTTTTATCCACATAATATTTTTTTCTTTCGTAGCTTAATATGAAGTTAAGTCGAGAAACACTGTGAAGTAGTGCTCCGGGTGTTTAGGGTCAAAGTATTTTATTGATAGCAGGTTAACGTGGAATACCAACACAGAAGCCCTGTACAGTAAAAGGGGCGGTGGGGTAGCCTAGTGGTTAAAGCGTTGGCTCGTCACGCTGAAGACCCGGGTTCGAATCCCCACATGGGTACAATGTGTGAAGCCCATTTCTTGTGTCCCCCGCCGTGATGTTGCTGGAATATTGCTAAAAGCGGCGTAAAACCATGCTCAGTCAGCCAGTGTATAGTAAATGTCAACAACGCCTCTATCTAATGCGCAAACTGCGATATTTTAAGGTGTCAGAATTCTGTTATGATGTTGTTTTATACCACTTTTATTCAGAGTATACTCACTTTTTCTTCTCAGTGCGGGTTCGAGTCTCTTTCAGTCAAAAACAAATCAAAACTTAACAAAATTGTAAATACAGCTAGTAAAACAGCCGGGGTTACTTTCGATAATCTTTCACTTCTCTATGAGCGGCAAGTACTTTCAACGTCTGAACAAATCATTAATGACACAACACATTTTTTTAAATCTAGAGTATAAGCTTTTACCTTTGGGCCGCCGCTATACAGTGCCAATCACGAAGACTGAACAAGCTCGAACGTCTTTTGTACCTCAAAGTATTGTCATTTTTACAAAATGGTGAATGTCCAGTTATCATTTTATTCATTTAATTATATTTAAGCACATATTTATCTCCTTTTATGTTCTTAGCAATTTCATATTTTATGTTTTATTCATTTGTATTTTTGTCAAGCTCTGTGATCCAAATTTTAAGGTAATAAAGTATTGTCTATGTCAATGTCTATCACACTGACGTTGGAAATCAAACAAATCATGACGTCACCTTCGTCATGACGCCATAGACAGAACTAGCACTTTTGCTTCCAGCCTGCTTTCCGTAACTGCTAAAGGGTCCATTTTCACCAGGAAAAAGTCGATGGGTCTTTTCAGATGACACTTCTGACATCCGTGACCACTTCTGTTTTCCGGGACCAGGATTCCGTTCCATACAGCTACGACAGAGTAGGACTTACGATATCCTTAGCGCTACGATCGCGTCATGGAACGGGTGCTAGACGGTTAACGACATGTACCGGTGGTGACGAATGGGTATTGTTGAAATTTATCAAGCTCCATGGATGAAACGTGTAATTAACAGACCCATAATCTTTTCGTTCTACACGACAGTCTTCGGAGTCCGGCAGATGTGACGACGTCAACAACGACTACAGAAAACGGTCAAAAATGGCAATCGAAAGAGTTGTAATCTTACGTTCAGATGTCATGAATTATTTTTATGTGAAATAGGGATACTCGTTCAAATATTAAAACATAAGTCCAGTTAATATTTGTGTATTGTTCATTCTGACTTGGGAGAAGAGAGAATAATTCACTGAAACAAATTAAGAAATTAAAAGAAAACGACGGTAAACTTGTGAAAGATCATGACATGTTCATCGTAACTACCACAGCACCCAGAGTAGAGTACTGGTGAGGAGTAATACAATTTTACATCTTAGGATTTTCATGATAAGACTAATGAAATTATAGCAAACTGTCTATATATTAGATACAGCAAAGAAAGTTTTTTGGGGCGGGGATAAGTTGGGAGGGAAGTTGGGCCGCGGGGAAAAAACTAAAAAAAGCGTTCGCTCGATTCCCCGCAATTATTTACAAGACTATGTCTGTTGTCCGCCGCCGTGATATTGCTGGCTGCAATACTGCACGGCATCTCCTTGACAAGAACGGATAAGACGCCGGATCAGTATGAGGCCGGGCGTTGTCTGGTTGAAAAATCTGTGTCTGTTGGTCAATAATCGGGGAGAAGGTGAGGCTGTAATACGTGGTTGATGTAACGTTGGGCTGTCAGGTTCCCTTCAACGATCACCAAGTCTGATTTCTGGTTGTATGAGATGGATCCCCAAACCATAACGCTTTCTCCGCCAAATCTGTCCCCCCTGTCGGACGCAGATGGGCGCAAAACGTTCATGACGTCTCCTATACACACGTTTTCTTCCGTCGTGATGTTGCAAAAGAAAACGGGATTCATCAGAAAACCAGATGCGCCTCCAGTTTTGTAAAGTCCATATCCTTACGTTGTTGCACCACCTGAGTCGTCGGCGGATGATAGGGGGCGTAGTACAGGTCCAACAACTGGTCTACAGGCACGTAAACCCGCTTCTTTCAGACGGTTCCTAATCGTTTGAGCTGACACTCTCCTCAAACCTGGTATTTGTGTGGCAGTCACGGTTGGTAGGGCATGCCGATTACGCAGGTGATGGACCCGGATGTACCGATCTTGAAGGGGGGTCGTGATTCTTGGCCTTCCACTTCTCGGGCGATCGTTGGTCAAATTGAAGTTGTTGTAGCGGCTCCAAAGTCGGGATATCGTTGTTTTGTGAACATTTAGGTGCCGTGCAACAGTTCCGAAAACTTTCTCCGGCTTGAACACGACGACAATGGCGATATTTCGGTCGGCAGCACTCAATTGTGGCATTTTTCACACAGCTTTCATGCGACAAATGAATGAATATAATACGAAAGCACATGGGCTTTATATACACCCTACATTAACTGCCATTTTCATGATTTGCATGTGTTTTTTTGCGAAGTCACCATGAGGGTCATTTCATGCGTTGTGACGGAATAAGCAATAAAAATACACTTATGCGTACAAATGCAGTTGTTTGGATGGTAATCTTCATTAATTACGTGTATAATTTCAATACATTCGAATAACATTTAGTTTGGAAGCAATAACTTCATTCAAACGAATTTTTCATATCTGAGGACAGGGGTTGCGTTTCTTTTTTTGACAGAGTTTATTATTTCTGAAAGCGGCGTATAACAGGTGCGGAACGGCCACTGTCCCAGTCCAAATCAAGTTATGCCAGGGACTCTCTTGTAGGATAGATTGTGACGTCAGAACGAAAATGACGTCATTGTGTGTTCGGAAATCATCGTGAATCTGACACTTTGCCCCAGCTTTGAGGGCTGAAAGGTTGCTGGGTGTACAATGTAAATTTCAGGACAATATGATACTGCACCAAGAACGTATTTTTTTTAACCTTGAGTGTTGATGTGGACATGTAAGTTACGAAACTTCAAAACTTCGGTTAGCTTTGAAGAAGGATGACATGGCTACGACAATTGTGACGTCATAGACAATCGTCATTCCTCAGAACAAGAAGTCGATCGCTTGCCACGCTCTGCCAAATTACCACATCCACTGCGTAACTGGTTGTTTGAATAGATCTTATCCAGCTTTATTGATTTGGTTGAGTGACAGGCCAACTTTCGAATGGATTCCCAACGAAATAAAGGTAAGGAAAATATTGCGTCATTGTCATATTACTGGATACAATGTGTGAGGCCCATTTCTGGTGTCCTCCGACGTGAAATTGCTGGAATATTGCTAAAAGCGGCGGAAAACGTAACTCAGTCACTCACATTGTAAAATTACTGTGATTCATCAGTAAAGTCACCAAAGTAGTATTATATTATGTTGTGTTAATGTGTCTTGAGCCAGCTGTGAGTGACCGGTTGTGTTTTGTCGAGATGATTAAGGCACTATCTGATTATATTGTTTATAGTGAGCGAGTTGGGTTTTACGCCGCTTTTAGCATTATTCCAGCATTACCCTTGCGGGGGACACAAGAAATGGGCTTCACACATTGTACCCATGTGGGGAATCGAACCCGGGCCTTCGGCGTGATGAGCAAACGCTTTAACCACTAGGCTACCCACCGCCCCTATTGTTTATAAACAAGTACAAATATATTTGAGACTCTAGAATAATAGCAGACAATTTCAATACATGGATAGGGTTTGTATGCGAAGGGCGTTCCATCTCCGCAAATTACTAGCGGCTCGAGTCTCGCAGCAGCTAATGACGTGACTCTATTTTCAGACCACTGGCACTTGAAGTGGCCTTTGAGAATGAAAAAACATCATCGATCGCGGTTATGATACTTTATCTCAGACCACATAGAGTAATGATAAATTCTAACTACTTTTAAACTTGCTCATCTTAAACATTTAAACCTTAAATATTTTGAAGTATGTACATTGCTGTTTTATCACAGGGTTCCTTCAGTATACTGGAATATATATATTCCAATGGCCCCTATTACTTCAATCCAAACTATACTGGAGTCAAAAAGAAACTTCACAAAATGTAATTTGAAAAATAATGAATAATGTTTCTCTGATGATACATCTATGTATCCGAAATGGGATCCCTACCTTTCGACTCTAGAAAAACGTTAGCAAAACCCACTCAAACCCATCCAATCGTCGTGCAAATGACGTTAGTGCCAAATCAGGTTTTGCACGTGCAGTCGATCACGTGATCTTCGCATCGAAGTTTTCTTCATATGCACGTGTTTGCATTGGCCTCAAGAATTTAAAAACACTTTTAAACCACAGTTCTAACGGTACTTGAAATGCCACAATTGTCAAATGTGCAACGTGAACGTGCCGTTGGCATGTTGCAAGCGGGAAGATCAGTTATTGACGTCGCAAGAGCAATGGGATGCAGCCGTCGTACTGTGTTTGACTTGCGAAGTCGTCTACAACAAACTGGCACCACTTCCGATCGCCCAAGGGTCGTCCACGTCGTCACACGAAGACCGTCAATCGTCCTACGTCACCTACGTGACAGATTTCTGCCGGCTACACGAACCAGGGCTGAGATAAGTTTAGAGGTCGACTGTCCTCACAGACCATTCGAAATCGGTTGCGGGCTGCCAATCTCCATTCTCGACGTCCATATCGTGGGCCAATATTGACGCCGTTTCATCAACGTCAACGTCTGCTGTGGGCCCA